CTGCAGGAGTTGGATGCGAAGGGGCACGCGAGGGAAGAGGCGTCAGGAGGCAGCAGGAGGGGGAGGAGGATGAGAAGGAGGAGCACAGGAAGGGAGAGGGGGAGGATGGAACTCGCCGCAGAAGAGACATCTGCCCTCCCGTGCCAACCAACCCACGACATCAGCTACTAGGCGGTTGCTGCCCTCGCAGCAAATCACGCTGGCTGGAGGCGTTCGCGTGCTACCATACTGCCAGGGGGCATCGGGACTACGAGCGACGACGAAATTACATTACGATAGCACCGCAGAAGACCTGCACGGCGGAGTCAAGCCCTACAGAAGAAAGCCAGAGAGAAGAAGCACAACGGGAGAAGAGAGATCCCCGCTGCCTTCGCCCTTGGCGGGGTTTGACAAGAATGCTGCTTTTTTATTTATGTATATATACATATATACACACATACATATACATATACATATGCATATACATAGACATAGACATATACATATACATATACATATACATATACGTATATATACATGTTGAGCGGCAACCGAGAACCCCAGCTCAGCATCCGACCTGGCCATCCTGCTGATTCTGCCTGGGCGGTTGCGGACAAGACAAGGGAGGGTGTACGGCAAGTTCGTGTCGTGACGACCACGGCGCTGGTTAGACACCGCGGGAATCGCTCAACTTTGAACGATCGGCTGCTTCAGAAACGCCATATCGTTGAACGATGGGCCGATTCTGAATCGCCGGCGGCGTTCAAAGTTAAACGCCGGCGGCGGGGTCGCCTCTGGTCAACAAAACGCGAACCTACCGTACAACCACTGTGGGTCATTGCTTGCCCTCGCGGGCTCTGGCCTCTGGCATGCAGAGACTAGGGCACACGAGCACATGCCTCATACGTGTTGCCTTCTTGCGACCTGCACCCACTTGCGACTGCTCGATCGTACCGGACTTCCCGCAGCTTGTCAGGCATAATGCGTCACTTTTGTATTTCTTAGGCCATTTGTCCCTGTCGACGACTGTGGGACTCCACGCGGGCCAGCTGTCACCAACCCACACGCGACACGCAGTAGTACTCAGCACTAGTCGCGCAGCGCTGCAGGACGTCATTGGTCGCGTCATGTGTGGCTGCTCTTGCCAGCGGGCGCAGCTCAAGCAACCAAGGCGAGAACGAGCACGTTCGCGCGGGCTGAGTCCGCGCGCGGCTGGCAGACTGCCGCGGCGGCGCTGACCGAGTCGCCCTCGAGCCCGCAGGTGCGGGCGGCCAGGTCCTCGAACGCCGCATCTTGTGCGCAGAGCGCCCTGAGAGCCTTGCACCACCGACATCCAAATCTGGCAAATCATGACATTCTCCAGCTCGCTCGGCAGCAGCACGAGCAACACCAAAGGTGCCAACATCGTGCACGGCGGCGTTGACGTTGTCGCAATATGAGTGCAGCTCAGGCTGGTCCCAGCCGGTGTCGGAGTCCAGTGCAGCAGCCACCGCCACAGCGACAACTCCATCGAATTCTGAAACTCCAATGGCACGATACTCATCAACACGGCGGGCAACGCCACTTGCTTCTTCGTGAATTGCTGCTCGCACGCTTCTGGTTCGTCGGCGTCGCTGCCCGAAACTGACTCCGACTTGTCCCAGAAGACTTCAGAAACGGCGATGGCTAGCCACAAATGGGCATCACCATCTGGAGCCACGCCTGGAAGTGTTGAGACAGCAGCATCGGGTAGCAGAATACGTCCAGAAGAAAGAACTGTGGCGACATTATGGTGGCATCCACCGTCGCGACATTGCCGCGGTCAGGATGAAGTGGCACATGGTATTGAGAAAGGGCCTCACTGCTAAGAAAGTCTCGAGGAACACCCACCCGCCCGAAGCCCGAGAATGTGAGTGAATCGGGAGGAAGTCTCAGTCCTGGCTAAAGAAGAAACATCCACGGGGGCGGGCGAAAAACGCGACTACGAAGAAGAATGCCACGGAGGAAGGCACGCCACCAACAGCGCATCACATGAACACATATGTATGTATATATATAGAGAGAGAGAGAGAGGTCCTGCCAGCTGGCCCTGCTTTGCCGTTCTTCTCACCGGGTGCGATGCCGTAGAGACTGCGCGGGCAGCGCACGCAGCCGTCGCACGCGCAGGCAAAGCCGAAACAGCCGTCGACGAAGCTCATCGTGCTGTCCCAGGTGCTGCAGCTGCTGGTTGGCGAACGGGTCGGGGGTCCCAGCTTCTGCCCCAAATACTGACGTTGGCCGCGTTCCGACTCCCGACTTCAGCTTCATGTGCTACACTGGAATGCTAACCCCGGTCGGGCCCATGATCAGCTTAAGTATCTCTGACGGGGCCGACCAGCTTGGTGAATATTACATATTTATGTCTTTCTGCGAGCGTGACGCGTCACCGTGGAATCGTTGCCAACTTGCTTCAGCGTCTCAAGCGTCACCTCGTACGTGTCTGGGAACCCGTACTCGTCGACGTTTTCCAGTTGGCGGAGTCGCTCTGATGGTAGCTCGTGGCATTGAGAAACATATACTCCCTCTCTGCACAGCCCACCCAACAGTGCGCCCATCTCCAAAAGAACTGCCCATTCTTGTGCCGTCGGTGAGCACGAGGGATGAGCCCGAGAATTTCGACTCGTCAGACCAACCCCAGCACCTGCCAATACGGATGCCACTCTGGGGAATGCTGCCATGCCTCGTCGACGCCACGCCTCCTTCAGCTCAGTCTCCACCTACACCTTCCCCGTGTGGTCCCGACCTCTCTTGAGTGATAGCAGGGCTCTGGTGCAGCTCTTGATGATGCCGCCCGCCTATCTGATTTCAGGTCGCCGGTGAGCACTCGCAGTGGCCCATCCAACGGCCCAGTCTCGTTGACAGCCCCGGCTTAACACTGCGATTGCAGCTGTTCCTTCAGGGGCCTCCTTTTTTATATATCTATATATACAAACATAAAATAATATATATATATATATATATATATATATATATATATGATTTGTTTTTGAGAAAAAACGCAAGGCCCACTTGCGCTCCTCCATATGATGTTCCCTGTACTGCTTCCCGATGGAGGACTGCATGCGCGCCACATGTTCCGACCACATCCTCATCTTCGTCATAAAGACGAAGGCCGGACCTCAAGGCAGCAAGGATCACCAGAATATAGCTCTGTGATGCGTTGGGCAACTCCTGGCGCGTCCACCTGGTAAGCTCTTGTCCCGTGTCCTTCCACACCTTGGTGCCTCCCGCGCCGGTCGGCCTTGGCGGGAAATACCAAAAGATGATGGCCAGCACAACTGGGCCATACGCCACGTAGACTGCACCTCCTCGTCCGTGAAAGCCCATCGGGGCTGGCCGAATGCTTCTGATGCCCTTGGCCGCGAAAAAAAATTGCTCAACCTGACTGCGCAGCCGCAGGACGTCGAAACTGGACTCGACCTGTAGGCACTCCTCGCGGCATGGTGCGCCTCGTTCGCCCGCGCCCCAGCGCATGCCCCAGAGAGCCCCACGATCCCCACGCCCTGCAGGGCAGACGAGACCTCGTCCACTCTGAGCGCGGTCGTCAGCGAGTGCGGACCCCAGACTCCCACGAAACTCCACCTGGCCTCTGGCCTCTGCAGAAGGCGCCGGCGCTGCGCACAGCACGGGCCCGAGCACGAGGCGCGCGCGCCTGCCCCCTCTGCGCGGGGGGGGGGCACACGGGGCACCATGGCCCCCCACAGCGGCGGCGGCGGCGGCGGCCCCCACTGCGGCGCGGGCTCCTCGGGAGGGGCTCCGATGAAAGGGGGGGTGGGGGGCCTGCGCGCGGCGGGGCCTGGAGGAGGAGGAGGAGTCCAGATCAGTTCCTGAGCCGATCAAGCCGCCTGACGGTCAACTGTAAAATTGCCCAAGACGTACCCAACCCCTTCTCCACGCGAGGCGAATGACTGTATGAACGCCCCATACAGAAGAGCACATCGCCAGATATGCACGCTCTGTACTGGCCTCATCTCCGCTGTGCCCCCCCACCCCCGAGGAGGCCACGAAAGTGGAAGGGGCGACAGGTGACCACTTCGCAGCACCCGAGGGAGCAGCGAGGTCCCAAATGGATCTGCGCTGCCCCCAGTGGGGAGGGGGGGATGGGGGGGAGGGGGAGAGGTGAGGGCGTGATGGCTTATCAGAACTTTCCTGGGAGCCTCTCGGGGCAGTCTTGCAGCCCCAGGACCCCAGCGATTGCGCTGCAAGGAGGGCCCGGAAACGGCCCCAAGGGGGCCCCACGAGCAGGTGTCAGGCCAAGACGGCCGACACCTGGCCAAAGGGCCCCGTCGGGGCCGTCCTGGGACCATCTTGGGACCATGCGTGGGAGGGCTCAGAGCCCCAGGAAATAGGCAGGTAGCGCTTCAGGGCGCCCCCGCAGGGTCCCCCGACCAGGTGTCAGGCCAAGGGGGGCAGGCCTCCCAGGAGCCCGCGAAAGTGGCGACGGGTGCGCAGTGCGCAGCGCCCGAAGGCGCCGCAGAATCTCAAACGGATCTGCCCGCAGTGTGCAGCGCCCGAAGGCGCCTCAGAATCTCCACAAGCGTATCTGCGGGCGCCGCAGCTTGCGCCGCCCGAAGGTGCCGCAGACCTGCGCTGCACGCACCGCCGTGCCTCCCAGGGAGCCGCAGGGTCTCAAATGACCCTGAGCTGTTTTCGCAGGAGAAGGAGGAGGAGGAGGAGGAGGAGGAGGAGGAGGAGGAGGAGGAGGAGGAGGAGGAGGAGGAGGAGGGAGGAGGAGGAGGAGGAGGAGGAGGAGGAGGAGGGGAGGGGCTGCGCCGCGCCTCCAGGAGCCCACGAAAGCGGCGGCGGCGGTGGCCCGCTGCGCAGCCGCCCGGGGAGGCATCTCGAGGCCCCCTCCTCTCCTCTCCTCCTCCTCCCCCTCCTCCTCCTCCTCCTCCTCCTCCTCCTCCTCCTCCTCCTCCTCCTCCTCCTCCTCCCCTCCTCCTCCTCCTCCTCCTCCTCCCCCCTCCCTCCTCCTCCTCCTCCTCCTCCTCCTCTCCTCCTCC